TCAATGTATTAGCATTCCTGGTCTTCTATATGCAAAAATGTTTTCACATGCCACAAGCCTTGAGATCCCATGTACTCCACAATCAACGTGGTTCAACTGCATCTCGCATGTAAATCATCACAGTGCAACACACCCTCCTTATGCATGTGACTCTTCCTATTTGATTCTACTGAACTATCACTTTGAGTTTTGGCAGAAAAGGAAGCACTGATTTTCAGTGGGGAGGAAGGGTGGGAAGTGTGAGAGATAAGTACTATCAGAAATACATTTTCAGTATAGGATATGGTACATTACCTTCTCTCACATATATAGTTAGAATCCCACATTGAATATGTGGAGAGACCAGTGCGAGGAAAAGAAGACCCTTTAAAATCCTTCAAAGAGCACCTAAAAAGTGGAGATCCTCACAGTAGAGAATCCTAAATGTATCAGGTATCAGTGTGAAATGAGAGGCGTTTCAAACTTGGGCAGAAAAAGAGAGAAGTGCATCCAAAAGGGAGAGAACAATGTTTGGATAGGGATGCAAACCACATGATATCGGAATCTCAATCCCTTGGGAGATGGTAATGTGGGTGAGTGTAAAAGGATGTGCTTCAAGGTGTAGAGTGGCTAGGGTGCAAAGGACTGTACATGGGAAGTCAACTACAATCGAAAACCATGCCACCAGGAACGACATCCATGTGGGGGTAGGATTGAGAATCATACCAGTGGCAAGTCAACTGCATCCAAATTCAGCAGACTGGAGGGAGATATCATGCCCTTTGATATGTGAACAGGGCAAATGTGAGCAAAGTAATAATAAATTACCAATCTGGAAACCCAACATCCCACTCAAAACTAATCAGACAGGAACCACCTCCAGCACACTATCGTCCTCTGTATATGGAAATATTTGAGGGGTAGCACAACAGGCAGAACCATAGCAACCCGTGTTTATCCACTGAGACCCACAACATGGTAGCAATGAACATGTGGCCAGCTGAGTGAGGGAACAGAGACACTAGTAATACATGTGTGAGGACTTATGTTGATTAGTCCTGCTCTGAATCCAAAACCTAACTACTGTGAACTGACATCCACGTAGGAAGAGAATGGGGAATCCCAATCAAAGGGGTGAACTGCAATTTTGATGGCTCACTCCTAAGCTACAACATCGCTTTGGATAGACCCATTCATAGATGGAGCATCAGATTGGAGTACATCTTGTCATCTATACCAGCTGGACACCATTTAATGGATTCATTATTTGTTCTATCATATATCGCTATGACATTCAGGAGGATACCTCCATGGTCTACCGTCTCAATGGCTTGGAACTTGAAAGTGGTAAGGATTCCTGAACTTCACTGGAAAAAAATGTAGTGAAGATTCTGGAGGAACATCAACACCTGAGACAGTGCAGCAGGTGACCATGAAAACCCTATTTTGAAAAGCAGACCACTCCTGATATATTCAATTTATGGAATGGCAGATATGGGCAGCTATCCCCCTTCTGCTTTCCCTATGTAGTCCACAGGTCAGTACAGTCCATATGGGCATATTAATGAAGCAGATATATCATGAGGAAAAACCTACAAGCGATCTGGCCATGGAAGTTATAATTGTGAAGTAATCATGGCCTTACCGTGTAGATTTGACTAGTTTAAATATACCTGGACAGGCATCATTCACTACTTAGCAGGATCCTTAAAGAAAAAAAAAAAGGACATGCCCCTCAAAAAGAAGAGGTATATATACAAAAAGGTAACTTATCCAGTCACAGTCTTACTAAAGAGTGGAGGTGAAAGATAGTACCCCGATGAGGAAAAAAAAGCAGATAATGGGAGATAAACATACGAGTTATAGTCCCAGTGCTCAATGGAAGAAGTATCTCCAACATACAATTGGGTTGAGATACAGGTAACAGGTAAGATGCTGATCAGAGTGAAGACAACAGGAATTACGGGAAGAAGGAGACACAGAAGAAAAACAAACAATCAAATCAAAAGTTGAATCCACTTGATAAGGGAGAAAGGAAATGTCACGAACAGGGGAGTGGGGCTAGGGAACAAAACTGTGGGAAAAGGAACAAACAGAAAGAAGCCTTGAGGCAATTAAGCAACCAAAAGCATGTAATGGACACAGAAGGCCATCCAGATCTGACTGGGAATAAATGTGGGAGATGGAAGGAAACGAAAATGATGAAAAGGAAGAATATGCTACATGAGTCGCCAAAGTGTAGGCTAGAAAAATCGATTAAGAACAAAAAATTGGATCGAAAACAATGACTGAAGCAGCCAAGAAATCCAGGTCTGTGCTGGCCAGGAAGGAGCAATCAGAAAGACTTGACTTGGAGTGGCATGGACGAATGTATGGGATGATAAAAGTATAAAATTATCCCAATCCTGTATTAATGCATATAAAGCCAGGACAAGTGGATGGAGAACCTCTGACCAAAAAAATAAATAAATAAATAATTAAAAAGAGAGGCAACTTGGAATTGAGGAAAGAGGCAAATGCATCCCACTGAGGAGTACCCCACTGGAATCAGATGTACTCGAAATTTTTGAGGATTGAGAGACCACTTTGTGGGATAAAGTGTGTCAGGACAGGAAAGGTGATTCGCAACAAGGTTGAAAGCACCCAGAACATCACTTGCTAGGGGACATACATCAAGTATGTGGGCCCAAAAAGGGTGATCCAAAGTCAACCACAAAGTGAACTAGAACCAGTGCCCCTTGGTGAGTGATATAAGCCACCACCGTTGAATTGTTGGAATGGATCATGATTAGTCAAATCCTCACAAGAGAAAAAAATGAACCAAAGCACATTGGAAGGCCAGAAGTTCTAGGGCACGAACATGGTAACACCTTTTGGCTGTATATCATTGTCTTGAAGCTTCATGCTGATCGACCCATGCCCTCAAATTTTTCTTTCCTTCAAAAGTTTGCATAATCAGTGAATTACATAAATAACAAAAGATACTTTTTAAGCAGTGTTTTCTATCAAAGTTGTAATATCTAAAAATGGAATGGTGGTAGAAGTAATAGCAAAGCTAATGCTAACCATATGTGCAGTAAGAAGGAATATGCTTATAACATACATAATGCATAACATTTAAAGGAAAACAAGGGGCCAGATGGTCCAGTGAAGCTGTTTCATCTAATTAAGAAAATACTAAAATCCACCTCTGATAGTTTAAATATTTATCTAACCTTTTCATAAATTTACTCCATTCACCACACCTGAAAACATCCTATATTGCAAAGGCCAACAGTCCTGCTAGAAAAGTAAAACTAATCTGTAGATGATTCCTACCCTGCTAAAATTTATATGTATCTTTGTCCTATTATTCTCACTAATAAATACAAAAAGAAGATGATGCATTGAATTATCTAATACATTAATAATATTGAACACATCAATCAAATCCCCTCTACCTCTTCTTTTTTTTCAAAAGAAAGCAATTTTAGAGATCCTAGCCTCTCCTTGTATGATAACCTTTTTATCCCAGGTATCATTCTAGTAGCCCTCAAGTTAGTATTCTTTTGGAGTGTCAATTACTGTATATCAATGCCTAATGTTTTTCTTCATTTAAGTTTTTGTGAAGTTTTCTATAGTCATGGGAAGGTAGGTGCATAATTCATGGCAGGAGGAGATACATGCTCAGAGGAATTATTGAGAAGGCTTCTCTAGAACTCTAGAAATCCTAGGTAATGGTCACCTCCAAACATGTTATAGAAAAAGAAATCCATGTTGGTTAAAACAGCTGCGGAATTGGTAAAAAAATGCTAAAGACAGGAAACCAAACAGATTAAGAATCTATCCACATCAGAAGAATAAAAAATCACTTAATAGACATTTGGTATTAGTGGTGAACAACATATAACCACTATTGACCTAGAAAAAAAAAGAACTGAACCTATCATAGAAGTAACAGTTCCTGTACCTACACTAATAAGCTCTGTATTACAGTAAAGTAGATTCAGCATCAATTATTACAAAAAGAATTGCAATAGAGATGATGATGATGATGATGATATACAGGAACATCATTACATTGTCCATTTCAATAACATCTTTTAGCCATTTACTACTTAGAAATTATATCTTTTCAACAAAAACAACATAGATATGTGGATTATGTTAAGTACAGTTATAACCATAACAGCCTTATAAAATGTGTACAATAATGTTAGTTTGAAAACTCTGCAAATAAATGAGTGATAATTACAATAAAAACAACCACACTTATGTATTAAGAACAGTATTAATAGCAATAATTGTATAAAACAATGCAAGTGGACAATACTACACAAACATACACATATATATAATAATAATAATAATAATATTAACAACAGAAATAACCTCATTTTATTAAATGATCTATAATACCACTTAATATGATAGCTGCAATTTATCATAAACTGTAATAAGAATAACAGTTTCACATATTAGTTAACCAAAGAACAGTATTACCATATAGAAACTAATAACCAAAGAACAGTATTACCATATAGAAACTAATAACCAAAGAACAGTATTACCATGTAGAAACTAATAACCAAAGAACAGTATTACCATATAGAAACTAATAACCAATAAAGCATCTAATAAAGAGATTAACAATCAACTAGTTTGTTTAAGTGCAATGCTACACAATGGCCTATTTGTGCTGTGCTTATCATGTGTATCAAACCCTGAATGATAGTGTATAAGCACTCAAACTTACCACTGAGCCACTGCTGTGATAAATAATTAAAGAAATAGATGGAGTGAAACAATGACTAACTTAGAAATTTAATTATTAATCACTATATACTGGATAGGTTAAGAGAACCAGAAATATTTAATCTACCATCTCCAAATACTATACTTTAGGAAAGATATGTTAATCTAACATCATCTGATGAAAGTTTCTGAACTAATGTTTCATAAAAATTTTTATAAATTAATATATATGTATATATATTACTACTTAATAACACAAAATTAACTCACAAAGGTAAATAATTAAGCTACACTGGGTAGGTTTGCATCGAAAATGACTGGGGCCTCCTGCTCTGTCTCCCAATGTTGTGAGGGAGGGCAAGATTTTCTCCGTTAACAGTAATGTTTGTGTATTTAGTTTGTGGATGACTGCTGTATGTTACAAGAGTATTATTGTGGTGGTAAATTTCTCCACTCTCATTTGTACTGTAGTTGTCCACAGATGTTTCTGGTTCTATACTGAACCTAGAATATGGGGTTACTGTGGCATCCTTTTCTTCTTGTCCTTGAACATCTACATTTTTCACAGGTTTAGCTTTCTTCCTAAAAAAGAATAATAGCTCATATTCAAATTTCTGAATTTCAAGGACAGAAAATAACACTTTATATACATATGTACCAAATGATTTGCAGAAAAACAACAAAAAATCTGACTTTACTGATTAAATAGCTTACTGCAAATATGATCCTTTAAAGTTATTTCATTATATATGTTATCATAAAAATAACTTAAATCATAATTTTTTTAAGCTGCTTATGATAATTTGAAGAAATGGTTTTTAATAATGTCAAAAGTATTAATACATAATATATTTATCCAAAAATGTTTGTTGAAAAAAGTCAATATTCTGCTTTTACGCAAACAGTAGATGATATCTAAGAATTATTACTGAGCTACACTGAATGTAAATTCAATTTTACAGTGCATGAATTAAATTAAGGACAATTTTGGATGAATTTCATGTATTTCTCTATGTTATGTCAACTCAAACTTATATACTGTGATCATTGTTGTTGAACTACAACTTTAAAAGGGAGCAACTCATACAGTGGATAATATGCAGATCAAGATATTGCTAATGTCACACATATTAACAAGTAGATTAACTGTGGTTGAAAAGTGTGTATCCTTTAAGGATGACAATGTGTGAGAAAGAGCTGGAAGCAAGAGTAACACTAGACAGCACTAATTATGAGCTGAGATATGCAAAATGAGCTCTCTGAATGAAAGTGACCATATGAATGGGAGAATGGTATTTTTTATTTTTGCCAATTGATGTTCTTTCTCATTCACTACTAATGTGATACGATTTAAAGAATAAATATTTATTGACAACTAAAAAGAAGTAGGTAGCTACTTCAGCTAAATAGTCACAGATTGGATTTATATACTAATTCTAAGATAACAACATGAGTTAATATCATAAACTTTGTGAGAGATAAAGTAAGGGTCCACTGTTTGTGGTTGCTAGGTGCTTGAGTTGTAGGCACTCAGTCTAACATTTGTTACTGCATTTGGTGTACTTACTTTTTGAAGTTGCTTCCCTTAGTGTTGAATAACAGCAAAATTCAGGTAATTTTGAAAACCATATTCAAGCAATTTTAAATTTCTGAAAACCACACCTTACAAAAGTGTGCATGTGCACTGAACATTCCTTTTCACATTCATACCACTATGAAAAGGAATACTTGCACCATTTTTATTTTTTATAGAAGTTGAACAACGACAGGGGGTACTGAAAATTTTGCAGACCAATCCTAGAGGTGCATAATGTTCAGGTTCTTGCAAAATATTTACCACTTAATTCTGGAGAAGAGTAATAAGCCTGAATATTAATGTGTAATGAGCAAATGATGTAAACAGAAAATAGTACAGTACTTTTGTTTCTTCTATTCTTCTTTTTATTTTGGCAACAAAACTACCATTTTGTTTGATGAATGTTGTCAACATAATTCTATATTGACTAGAATAATTATACCAACACACATAAAACCATGAATATATATGTTAAAATGTTTCGTATTTTGTACATTACTGGCAAGGTAAAAAAGTAACTGTTTTAGCATAAAGTTCTTTATTACTTAACAGTCAACATTCTAACATTCCAAGTAGAGATCAATCATTCTTAAAGGATTTTAATAAAAACAGTATGGGAATATATTATAAATCATAAAGTTTTGGAATAATACTTACGTTTTTAAACAGACTACAACAATAATAATGATCAGTATTAGAAGAGCTCCACATCCAACAGCTACTGCTATACCTATAATAAATCATATACAATTAAAAAATCTGTACAATATATATATGTACACAAACAGAGACCCGCGAAATATTTTTGCTCAAATTCGTATCTTTATTGCAACAGTATATCTTTAAATACAGGAGTTCTAGAATAATGCAAAATAATTTAATAGCAGACATCAAAATCTACTTGCCTTAGGCCTACCATTAGTTAAGTGTTTGTTACATACTGCTTGTATTTAGAGATAAATTAATACAATAACTTGTGGACGTTTTTTGCTTTAGTTTAGTTAAATTTAAACTTTACCATACTTAATTCTATCATTACATAAACATATAATGTTATTCTATGACCTAACATTAGACCGTTTTAAAACTTTGATAAACTTTTAATATGTTGTTGAAGAATATGTAAATTAAAGTATATTTACATCCATCCTTTGTTTATATTCATTAAAATGAAGTGAATGTGCATGCACATTTATAGTAAGATGCATGCACATTTTCAGGACAGACAAGAATTAAGTATTATAATAATAGATTTCTAGTAAAGTAACCAACAACACAAAATATTTGCACACCTGAATTTGAATGATCATTTATATATTATTGTCAATTTCAAGTAAATCTGTGCAGCCCATACAAAAATAATTAAAAGCCCCATGATTCCCCATTAATGGTCCTAAAAATAAAAAAAAACAAAAAACAAACACACACACAGACATATATATGTATACTTAGTTTGAGTTATTCTTTACATATCCATCAAATTTTTATACAAGTCTGTGAATCCAGTCCTGAAATCTTAATTTAGGTTATTGTTTTGAGCATCTTCTTATGTATTAATACATATTGCCATATGAAATATTTTTAGTCACACTTAAGAGTTACAAAAGTTCTTTGACCCCTTTTTGGGATTCTCTCATAACCATTTTTAATTTTTTAGTGTGCATGTAAAATATACAAGAATAATTAAGGATTACAATACAGACACACACATGTATGAACAAGATAATCCAGTACAATAAATTTAATAAATATATATAATGATTTATATTAACTATCATCTATAAATTCTTATATCTGGATTAGCAAAGATGTTTTCATTTGTTTTAACAGTCAAAACTGAATATATCATATCTTAACCCTTTAACATTTGGAAGAGTTCAAGTTTCATCATTTTAACCAACCTTGTAACCGTAAACTATACAAGCTGTAACTTTTAATGTAATAAGTGTATCTTTACCAAATTTAGCACGCTTTTAGTAAATTCTACGAAATGTTGTACACATTGCAAAAAAATTGAGTTTTTCTTTACATATTTTCACTAAAGATTGGTTTGTGAATTTATGAAGCCTTTACTCAGTCAGTTCGAGCGTGAGGTGATTTTTCACGCGAAGAATAAAAATACTTATTTCCACCTTACAGTTTTCAAATGTCATTTGCATAACCTTTAGAGCCTTACTAAATGAATATCAAAAGTTTTTTCCATAAAACTATATTTTATCTGTTCAATTTTCTACCCTAACTCTGTATAAGAGCTTGATTCATTTGAATGACCTTGTAACCACCTATGAAAATATAAACTATTTTTTTTTCCTAGAGTGACTGCACATTGTAATAGACAGTTACATACCACTTATTGTTAAAGCCAAAACTAATGTATTTTTTATTTAGTTTAGTTTTTTTACAGTTATATTTAGATCCTTTCAGAGGACAGCAATAGTGCTATTTACTAAGCCTTACAGCTTTGTGTAAATAGAGATTCCAGTTACCAGCATGAGTGTTGAAATACACAATCACACTTGTACCGAACATGTGTTACACCAGTATTTTGTTTATTTAAGTTTTCTTTTCTAACCTAACAAGTTTCTTTAGTTACTTTTATACCAATAAAAATTATCCATAAAAAACAAGAAATGTAGTACTTAAATCTGAAATCTTACCCTTCTCAAGTTTTCTTACTCATACAATAGAAGTCTACATCAAACTTTAGGTCTAAGTTTTAGTAACATTAAAATTGATTTCAGAAATTACTTTTTAAAATTGTAGTATGCAAGTTAGAATATGAAATAATGCCACCAACATAGAATTAAATGTCCTAAAAACAAATATAATTTATCTGGGTTTCTAACTAAGTTATATAATTTATATACCTGGTTCAAAGACTGGCAAATGAAGACAAACCATACCAAAGTATTCAAAATGGGTTATTTCAACAGCTTGTACCTCACCACATTATGTAAACTGGATTCTTATCTTTTCACTGGTTAGAAATAATCCAATAGCAAATGTCCCAAAGAATTATTGACACTTTATTGAGAGACAATATTGCATGTGGGTTTCATGTTGTTACATGTATATAATCTCAATGAAGCAAGAAGCTTGGAGGCTACAACTTGTAATTTTAGCAGGGATTTAGTTTTTAAAGGAAAGAAAACTTTTCTAAACTGGGGTGTTCAGGAATATTGATATCCCACTTCACCTCACTAGTGAAAAAATGTTTTGCTAAGTTCATGGAGTTTATAATATTACAGAGACAGATCACACCTAGTATGAAGATTTGAGAAATGTCTGGAAGTCTGGGAGCTAACTATAGTATAAGTGTGAAATCCCATGGAAAGATAAGAAGTTATATAGTGGTAGAAGAACATTTAAAATTAACAATTTGGAGTAAACAAATGTCATGTGATACAGAAAAGTGAAGACTGAGAATTTATTTACATATTTCCTTTTGAAATTAGAAATTAAAACTTATATAATATTAATAGTTGAAGTACCAATTGTGTTTTGATGTCAAGTTATTGACATGTGCATAAACTGATATTAAAATTGTTTAATAAAATTTTGAATTTAAGAGGTTGTGACATGCTCACTTTGACCCACTCAAGGTTTGAGAGCTAAAATCTATGCTTATTTTTTCTTATTATAATAATAGTTTTTCTTTTCTCTCAAGAAACAACAACTTATTCAATATCATATATTTGTTTCCACTAATATGATAGCCCATGAGCATTAGAACTGCCAATAGTCAGCAAGAGAAGAAGGAAAGGCCAGTAAATCATAGGAAGGATGGAATTAAAAAAATACATGAATGAAAAAGGAATTGCAAAATATATGGCAATGAACAGAAACAACTGTAGGATGGTGGCTCCATCTTATTAGTTTTGCTTTTTTTTCATATTATAAAAAGTTGATATCAGCTTAGTTTCAAAAATTAAGGTTTTTTTTTCTACCATAGTTGTATTATTTTTGTAGAAGCTTTCACTGCAAGGATGCCAAGCTCATTAAAAGGGGTGTGAAAGACCAATTTCTATACAGTTTATTCTTGTACATCTGTAGTTATGTCATAGTATTTATCATCAAACAAAAAGTTATCTAATCTGTCTAAAAGTAGTTAATTTTTGATGTTGAATTAGACTGGTAGACTGATCCTGCAAGTTAAACTGCCAAACTTTTACAACTGCTTCTTTGAAAAATAATAACCTTACTTTTGCTTTTCAGTGAAAAATGTCTCCCTAATCTACGAATGTGTTGTATCAGGAAACAAGCCTAAATTGGCACAAATTGTGGAATCTAAAGTGGCACTCATACTTCAATTAACTTTCAAAAATGTTTTTTTATTAACCTTAAAGTTACAAAATGTATTAAAACTATGAAAATTTCTGTGCTTGATAACAAATAATTTCTTACTACCAAGAATGATAGTTCATCTCACAATATACAATTTTTCAATTTTTCTAAGGTATTACTCCTAGATCCTCTGTTTGGGTAATTCTGCTTTGCAAAAATTTCGTTGTGAAATTGTCATTCATTTTAACAATGTGAATTGCATGTGAATTCCATGGTATAAACACTACCAGCTGGAGATCAATGTGCCATGAAGAAACAAGTTTATAGACCTTTAAAGAGGAAGATGCAGAACTGATGGTATGAGCAGATATGGGTAATGTGCTGAAGAGATGAAACACCAGTCGACACATTAAGATGCAATATTAGCCCAGTTGCTCATAACTAATCACTGCTATTGAAACCTATTGTTAAATGAAACTACAGAACCACATTAAATCAATCACCCAGCACTTTAACAAGGGTTTGATACTGCAGATGTTCATAATCACATTGCACAGAGAGCTCCTTTCTGTTGGATTTTATGGACAGGCTACAGACCTCAAAACTGTTCATCATAGCTGTGAATTTAAGGTAGTGACTCTTATGAAGTCTTGATCATTATAACTGGAGTGAAGAACAATGACAAACCAGCTTTTAGAGCAGCAAATTATGCTATTCATTGTTTGCCTCATATGGAATGGACTGAGTTTCACAGCAATCTTCAAAACCCATTTAATATAACTGTGTCATCTCAACCACGAAGAGTGGTGTCATGTTATGTGTAAATTTTATGTAGTTTGATTTGATTCATTGGTAATAGTTGGGAGAACTATGTAATTCTAAGCATACCGTGTATTTTTGGGTAGTGTTACACTATCTGCATTGATGAAACTACATTATCCATATCTCATTCAGCTTGATAATGTACAATGCCATACCATATGTTATGACCAGCAGCGCTGTGAAATGTTAATTAAACATTTCTTTGAGCTGCTTTACAAGAGAGGTGGAGTTTCAATCAGAAGTATATCGAAAGTCACCATTATCAAAAGCATTATAGTATGTGATTATTAATGTGAGCATAACCTCTTATCAAATGGAGCACCAGCAGTTAAACATGACACTTCTTACTAAAATGTGGTATTTTAATAATATATGATGCAGTACTAATTAGAAACAAATTACCTCAGTCAATATACAAAGTATTTCAAAGAAAACATTTTGGTCTATAGTTCTTATTTATTAATGCATTGTTATATGAGTTAAATACTATTATTATTATGAAGTAACAAGGACTTTACCAATTGTTTTAGATGTATCCAGCTTGGCCCCTGTTTGGTTGTCATAGTCTGTATATTTATAGGAAAAACAGTAAAAAAAATCACATGATTAAGAAAAAGAAATATGAACAGTTTATGGCAAAAATATTTTCAGAAAATAAATCACACTTATATTTGCTAAACTAAATCATACAATACTGCATTACATTAAAATGAACATATACAGTATCAAAAATAGGGGAGGTTGCTGAAGTTCTTAATGACCAATATCAATGTAGTATGCGTGAACCTGTGGTTTGAAAAGAATGATTTACGTTCATAAATTATTGTTTAGGAAATATTATTTAATAATCCAGTCACCATCTAGTAAGTTCTATATCTATTTCATTTGAACATAGTGCTAGCTAATATATATTGTATCATATTATACAAATCCCCATACCTTACTTCCTCCTTAAGTCTCCCATAGTATACATATCCACAAAACTTTTGAATTTTGACAAGTACTAGTTTGGAACATTATAAATCCAGTTGAGGTCATGTGCTAAATTCACCTCGTGGTGTTGCATTTGTAGACTGTCTAGTGAAGAACTTATCTTCTGTTTCACCATGTGAAAACTACCTTCAAACTGTTACACAAAACAGAGATACTTCTGCATTCTAGTGCTTTCTGATTGGGCAGTTACAGAGAAAATATGTACTGTGAATCCATTTTTGTTTCTTTCACAAAAGATTCATTCAAATTTTTCATCTAAGAGAGCCAGAAGTTGCTGCAAAGCCTTGTTGCTGTTCATTTTGTTTTCCTAGTGCCTGCTGATCTTATGTTGTTTAACTCTAGTTACAGCAAAACATATTTTCATCTTTATTTTTTGTTAAATACAGTAATTTATTACTTTCTCTATTTAAATATGGTTTATCTCCATTATTAATTTTACATTTCAACTTCAGTACTATACAATCATCCTTCCATCAGCATGACTTGCCAAATTCTTTGTGCTACTTCAATAATAGTTAAATTTTCACACTGCATCTCACCTCTTTCATTTCATGAAACAAATCACTACCTTATCTGTCAACATATCAGATATACAAACCTCTAGTTTTTGCAGAGTTAAAAATGAATTGGATCATAAAAATTTAAGAAGTTGTTTTGTATTACATTTATACTTTCCTTATAAACTGCATTTATAACATTAGTGAATATCTTGACAGCATAGCTGAAAACAAAACTATTGTTACGTCTCCGTTTGTTAATTGATTTTCCGTAACTTTGTTCCGACGAAACTTAAGCGACACAAGTTCTTTCTTAATAAAAACTGGTTTATTCTTTTCAAATATAACTTTACCGATACACTCAACTTCAACAATTGCGCTAAACAAATGCTGTAACGTCTCTCGTGCTCTCTGACTGCAGTTCAATTACTCACTGTAATTACTCTTTTATATACCAGCCTACCCTATCTAGCAAATACTAGACCATTCGCCAAGATACGGGATAGTTCTAAAAACAAGAGAGCGTTAGAATTGTCACGTGATCTCGATGACGCAACACTGCCCCCTCCTTAATATGTTCGT